AGTATCTATAGTAATTTTTTTTCTCTAATAAACACACATGATCAAGGGTAATCCAGGAATGATTGCTAATTCTTGAAGTCCAGTTCCTTGCTGTCTTTGGCAGGTGTATTGTAGCATGCTGTAGAACCTGACTCATAAAGAGCTCTTTAAGAGCTGTTGAACACTTTTGAGTGTTGCAGACGAGTGCTTTTGCTGTCACATTTGTGTTCATGTGTGTTGCAGGAAACAGCAGACTAATGAAATGGCCAAAGATGTGATGGCCTGCCTCTTAGAGCCTCAGCAGTTCTGACAAGCAGATACAAATTCTATATTAATGTAGTGTATAAGTATTGCCTTCTTCAATCTTTAAATAGATATTAAAAAAATGAAGCACAAGTTCAAAACCATGACATGTTTCCTTGTTATATAGTCAGTTTAATCAGTAGATGCAGCCTTGCAATTTCATGGCTCCTGTTTTGGGAGGGGACGTTCTTGTACTGCATTGGAGGAAGAATGAATTCCTGATTAAAATCTGTCTCACAGAAATGCCCGTTTTTTGTGAAGAAACTGAAAGGTTCAGGAGCCAGTGAAGTGTTCTTAACAGCTTTTGAGCAATGTGAGTGCAGTGAAGATGGATGCCTTTTTCTTGCTCCCATTCTCAATGCTGCATGGGTATCACAGGCCTTGATAAGCTTAGTTGATATAGGCTATACTTAATAATAAGCAAGCAAGTCCTTCCCAGATTAAACTTTAGTCTGAATAGTACTGTACTGAATAGCCACTGTGCAGCTTTTGGCTTTTCTTCTCACTCTCTCTCCCTAGAGGTATAACAGCATGAAAAAATCGCCATGCTTTGTTTTAGTAATGCAATGTTTTGGTGGATTTATTTTAACTTAGGTAATGTTTAAGCTAGTTGAGCCAGGTGAAAGAAACACATTTTACTCACATTATTTTTGATAGTCCTTTTTCCTGCAGGAGTTTCTTTCCCAATCTTCCTTAAGCCCTGAACAAATCTTTCTCTCATGCTACAGAATTTCTGGGCTTGCACATCAGTACAGTCAAACTTGTAGGTGGTCTGGCCCCGAGCATCTTAGCATCTATTGCAGCCTTTAAATATGTAAAAGAGATAATGAAATGCTCTGGTCACTGTTTTCCATGAGTACAGGAAGGAAAAAAGCTATTGTTGCAGCGTAAGACTTAAGTTAGGCATCAGTCCAATGCTTAAATGTGGGATGGGGTTGCCTGAAAAGACTACAGGATCTCTTTCAACTCTAGATTTTTGAAGACAGGTTAAACAAATGTCTATTAGAATTAATATTTGTACAAATTAACTATGTATATGGACAGATGGACTGTATAAGTTTTAGAGATCCCTCACAATCCTGTACTCTGTAATTAAGGGTGGAAGACTGAAAGGTTGAATGCTGAGGCATTTACTGGAGGAAACAGAAGGATAGGTCTGATAAGCTCAGAGGGATCCCAGTTGCTGAGAGGATGTGCAACAAGACAGCATCAAACAGTCTGCCCAAGCCCACCAATGCAGGGGTCTGAAGAGCAGCCTGGCAGGTCCCTTCTAGTTTGTCAGTGGTGTGAGCTCTTTGATTTTGGATTCTTTCATGAAACCTGCTATTACTTGTGCATAGGCACACACAGAGGCATGCATGGGTGGTGTAACAGGGATACGGTCTGTCCTAATCTGTTTCAATTAGGAAAAGGTTATTTGAAAATTATCAGCATTATGGCAAAGTGTGTGAAAAGAAAGACTTACTACCGTTGTGAAAAGATAGGCTCAGAAGACTTATTCGATGCAAGTAACTGTTTTTTATTCTTTCTTTTCTTTTCAAGTATAAATATGAATTTTAATGTTAACCATTTCCGAACATTAATTTTAATGTAATATATAGATTCAAAAGCAATGAAAAACCCACCACTCAGAAGGAGTAAGTTCAACATGAACTCTGAAACTTTTTAAAATCCTCCTTCCTCTCTTAAAATTTTTTTACTCATCTTTACTTGACCCTTCAGACCTCTGGCTGAAAATGTAGAGTTAGGAGAATCACAAACTTGGAATTTTTGCTTTATTCTATTTATTATTTTGTGCTATCCCTGGTTCAAAGAAAAACTACTGTAGTCATAGGAGGAGTTTGAATGTTGATTTAAAAAGTTCCCTATGCTAATTGTAACCATACTGTTAAACTGGTACTTAAGAAAAAGTGAGATAATTAGTCCTTTATAGTTGTCAAAGACAACTGCATAATATAAAGGATCTGGGAAATAAGAGCAATAAAATAGGTTTGTATGGTTCTGTCTTTATTTTAGTGCTGGTAGAATAGCAGAGGTCTTATTAATGGTACTAAGTTTGGGCTGCTTACAGTGAGCAGTACTCACGAACTGCAGAGCTTGACAAACTGTATGCATGAAAGAACAGAGATTTAAACTCCATACAATTTTCAGCTACAACACAGAAGCCAAGAAACCTTGAATATGTTCCCCAAAATTATGTGGAATGGAACTTAAAGCTAGATTAGGAAGATGCATTCAGAATTATTTTGACCTCCCCTTTCCATATTGCTTTAACATGATCACCTAGAAATTGCTACCCTGAGATTGCCACGTATTTAACTTTAAGCATCTGTTGCACTTGCCTTTTTTCCCCACACCCCTTCCTCCTTGTGGTACTGTATTATTGTTGGTACACTGTAGATTTTACATGGATTTGGCTTCAAGCAGGTTGAGAGGTTTCTAGAGGTGTGTTATTATTTGCAACACTGTGGCCACCTTTTAGTGAAGCATCTCCTGCTGTCTCCATGTGTACTGGCCCAGCCTCGAAGGCTGATGTGGTGCCTGCTGCTCCAGGGATCCCACCACTCTCTGTAGTTGTGGTGCAGCTTGCATGGCATCCTAACAAGAAGATGGAGTTATATAGCAATATAACTATTGGAGCAATAGCATGGAGTCTTTCACACCATGCAACAGCTAGGATGTTTGTGCTACAGATTTTTCCAGAGTAACTCAAAACTAGTCCCAGTATGTAGAATGGCAGCAGTTAGCCTGATTTGAGAGGAAGAAGAGTCCTGTTGTTGCCAGCCCTGCTGGGTCACATCCCCTGCTCCCAGGGACTAGAAAATGAGCCCAGGATCTTCTTGGTTTGCTGGTTATGGGAATAGCTTTGCTGTCTTGCTGCCATGGTGATGTGATCAGTGCTTAGAGGAACCTGCATTGAAGATTTTCTGCAAATACGCTGGCAGTACTGCAAAAATCTGCAAGAGACAATGGTCATCTTAACAGCAATCTGAAGTGTCCTGATGAGGAAATGGCACAGAGCACTGTCCTAGACCTGAATATCTACTTTTCTTTGGCACTTCTTAGTTTTTGTTGCCAGTAGTATGAGGCAATGAGACAATTGAGTTTAACAATTTTATCCAAAGTCCCACTGTGCAGCCTTAGTTCTGGACAGCTAGGTGCAGTAATTTACAACTCTTTTCAAATGTTGACATGATTTTACCTAGCAGCAGGAAAAAAAACTTTCCAAATTTATTTCTTTCATGAGTTGGCTTTGCTATGGCTAAAGAACATTCTCCTATGCTGCATTCTTGTAAGATTTCAGTTAATATAGTATAAATACAGATTTAAACATATATTTGAAGTGTATAAAAGTGTCTAATATGCATTATATTTAAAATAGGCATATAACCTGAACCATACATTTGGTGTTACTGTTAAAGGCTACATTTATCACTAAATTTCAGATGAGTTTTTCCTGTTTGTCTGAAGAAATTGTTTGCTGTGTTTTGTATTTTCACAGAGTGAAATAAAATCTTTATATCTCATTTATTCTGAAATGAAACATGAGCGTGTTTCTCGTGAGAGGTGCACTAGCTGGGAAGTGTTGGAATATTTTTTATTTAAAAAACAGTTAGACCTTTTCTTTAGGTTTATGGGAAAATGTTCTTATGACTCTGAAACTTACTGCCTCTTGAATAAAGTATCAGGAATAATGGGAGTACTGTAAAATTTGTTGTTAGTTGCAAGTGAGATGTTGTTTCCTTTCCCTTACATTTTTCATGCTTTCCCACTTTCCCGTTCCTTTATGAGGCCTTTTCCTCCATGAGACATTTTAATTACGGAGCAGTAATGAAAATTAAGAAAAGAACTATTGCAACAGAAGTTAGACATTGATGTTTTTATATATGGGTGTGGTCTTGTTTAAATTTACTACAGTAGAAAAATGAACAGTATATTTGTTTGAACATTTGATTTCAGAATAGAATATACTTTATGCAGCTATGTAAATTGCATGTCTGAGACTATCTTTAGGTTTCACATTTATCTAGGGCACTACCAGGTGCATCTGATTTATTACTGCAAGATTTCATAAAGTAGTGCTATGCCATGTTTTAATATTTAATCTGAGGTGTGGAGGGCATTACCTATCATACTGAGCAGCAGTCTCCCATTGTTTCCTTGAATCCCATTTATCATCTGTGAATTTGTTTTCATTATATTATCGATACTGTGGGACAAGGACTTCCCAAAGTGTCTGTGACAGTCATAGTCATAATGTCAGGTACTTTTTGTAGCAATAGAAAAAAGACTTTCCTCTTCAGTCTTCTTGCAATGACACGTTTTATTTCAACCAAACACAACAAAACTTTTAAGTGCCATCCCAAGTGCGTACTTTACCTGTGAGGCGCAATCAGAAAATATGTAGCTAATATAGGAGTCATTATTTTAATGCATAATGCTTTCCTTGTGGTACAAACAGAAAGCGGTTTAAATTATGAATATTATTTGTGGCATGAATTATTTAACAGTGTCTGAGAGATTTAAAATACATCTCAAGGTGATACATGAAGGACAGTTTTGAGAGTGTTTTCATCTTGAGGTGTGTTTCATGTTGACAGCTATGGCAGTAAGGTCTTCAAAGAAATTTAGATCTTACGTAAAAGTTTTAGAGTCTCAAGTCGTTGACTAGAATGTGCTCGTGCCATTAAAACTTTTTTAATCTTAATCTCTTTCAGTCCCAGCAAAGATGCATTGTGATCTTTGCACTGGTATGCTGCTTTGCAATTCTGGTTGCACTGATATTTTCGGCAGTGGATATTATGGGAGAAGATGAGGATGGACTCTCAGAAAAGAACTGTCAAAATAACTGTCGGTAAGAGGTAACAAACAAAACTTCTCTTTTGGGGTGGAAAGGAACATACATGGGTTATATAAGGGCATGAAGTAATTGGTCTTGTGGTGTTACTGGGAAGATCAGCTAACAGAGGAAGAGATGGTTTCTCATTTTGAATTTCTGGTTTCAGAGATTAGTTTAACAAAGTGAAACACACTTTTTGAAGTTATTTTTGATGGTGTGTTTTGAGCAAGACCCTTGTGTTGGATCAATTATTTTGTAAGACTGAGCCAAAGCCCATTAAGTTTCAGTAATTGAGTACTGAGGTGGATCACATAGTTCTCCATTCTTTGATGTCTGTTTCTCATCAAGACCGCTTCTTTCTTTCTCCAGAAAGGTCACTGATGCCTTTTGACCTAAGATTGCAGTCCCTTCTGTGTAGGGGGAGCTTTTATGTTCTTGTTTGATGCATTCCTGTTATAGATGCAGTGGCTTACCTGTGAACTGTGAAGGAAATTAGTGATATGAGAAAGATGAGTGTTGACAGTGTTGAATTAAGATTTGCCTCAGACACCTGTCAAAATTGTGTATATCTTTTAACTTCTGGTTCTGTTAGTTTTAAGTAGGTGATTACTTTTTTTACTTTACTGTGAATCTCATTTTGCTGCTGCTCACTGTCAGCTTCCTCCCTGAATCTGTTCATTAGTGGTGACCAATGCTTTTCCCAGGTCGTATTATCTCAGGTCCTCTTCCACCAAACTGATTTAAAAATAATTTGTAGGCTTCATTCCCCGTTGTATTCTATTTGGGTTTTTATCAAGGTTTTAATTTTATACAGAGCACCCTCTCTGATCCACTGTGTGAAAAAACAAAAAGTCATTATTAAATAACTTCACAGACGTCCATTCTAATCTGGTCATGGAATTTCTGGAGTGGGAGGGGGTCCTGTGCATCCTCCAGTCCATGACCCACTCAGAACAGAGTCAGCTACAGCAGGATGCTCAGGCATGTGCACAGTCATGCTCTGTGTAGCTCCAAGGATGGACTCTACACCCTTTCTGGACAGCCTGTTCCATTGTGCAGAACCTACCAAGCTACCGATGGCTGAGTATATAGTGGGTAGGAGCTAACTGACATTTTCATTTTAGAATAATTTAATGAAAGATTAATGTTTCTTTGAGCCTTTGATCCTTATTTCAGCTATTCTTTGTTCATTTCATGTGAAAACTCTTTCGAGACAGTGCCTTTTTATGCTGCACCTGTCACACTGCAGACAGCACCAATTCAGAATCCAGAAAATTTCGTGATGTTTTTTCAATTATAATGAGTTTTTATAATATTGTTTGCATGCTGCTTAAGAAACAAAAAAAAAAACAACCAATAAACCAAGAGGATTCTTGTATCTCCTTTCAAATGGAATATACTTGCAGCATCAGGTAGCTTTGTCCTGAAACCCACTGTCCTTCTGGCACTTTTCCCCATAATTGTTTTTAGGTTTGGTTTTGTTCACTTCATTGTACTCCTACAGGTCTGGGCAGCCTTCTGATATCTTCTCAGAATTTTCTAGAGTTCAGCTAACTTTTCTTTCCCCATCAAGGTCTTAAGTGTCTTTCACTGTGAGGTGTTGCCTTCCAAAATTTTTGAAGATACTGCATGTGTCACCTCTACACCCACTGTCTCCATGTGTGAATCTTTGACAGAACTAGGTCAGATGAGGGGAAAGTCTTTCTGCTCATTGGCTTCAGTGTGCTGTGCACAACTTCAACACTCTCTATGGCACCACATTTCCTCTTTGTTGTATCAGCTAATGGTTCCCAGTTTGTTCTGGGTAGCTGTGTAGGCCTAGCCAAGGAAGGACTTCACCTCCTTCACTTCTTATTCTTCAAAGGGAAAAAAAAATCAGAGTAGAAGTGATACACAGTACCAAGAAAAATGGGGATATTATTTTTTTTTCCATGTGAGAGATTGATTGCTTCTGTCTCTTTGTATGGGTTACAGCAGTCTGCCTTTCCAAAGAATACTTGGCTTTGCTCAGTGTTTTGTTGGTTCATATGTGTCAGTCTTGTACCCTCCTGGATTGTGTTAGAGGAGCCTGAGACTAAATTCAGCACCTTGACTTTAAACATAAGAGTCAATTAAACTGCTCTACGTTTACAGGGATAAAGTGAACCCAGACCCCAGCTCTATTTTAAGGTGCCTTTCACAGCGATTCAAGTGCGTGATGTAGCTACTAATGCCTGAACCAGAAGGCACATAAATGCTGTGCTTATAAACTGCCTGAACCATTTCTAATAACAGTATCCAAGTGCTGGCAGCTGCTACCTGCTAACACTGACTCCTTGTCTACACGATGAAACTGGGGTCCTTTATGTGTTAAATACATCACAGAGTTAACTGAAGTGTCACAAATCAATTGCTGCCAATGGCATATATTTAGTACTTGGGCTAAGCACTTTTAATAAGTAAGACAAGAGTTACTGAATTCTTACATTTCTGCTGTGTGAGTACTTTCTCTGACATTCAGGAAGAGGTGCTTACATTGGCAGGATGTGCTGAGACAGAATGGTAGTAGATGATTTATTTTTTTTTTAATGAAATATTTGTCAAATCTAAGTTGATATGTATGAGCCCATAATTCTTTTTTTGGTTTTAACTGATTGAATTTGTGAAGAATGTTGATGGGAAAGCATGCTGCTGATTTGAGAATAACTTTGCTGATGGTTTGTTAATGGCTGTTTTCTTTGGAAAATTTCATTTCTGTGTTTTTGTTTTAAAGGAAAATACACCTGGAATAGAACTGTGGTCTAGAAAATTTCTCTGGCTAGAAAGTTTTAGCGCTTGTGTCAAAAAAGCAGAATTTTTAAGAGAGAGAAGGAGAACATAAGACTTTTTAGAAACTAGAGCTTTTGCAAGTGGTGTTTTCCAGTAAAGCTTACATCTCTCTTTGTTGTTGTGATTGGATTGTTCAGGAACACAAATGCAGCTTTTCTGATCTGCTTGTTGTAATTCAACATGAGTTTCATCTTCTGTAAACCATTTCTTAAACTCTTATTAGATGGGGAATACTTACTATGTTCCCAAAATGACCTTACTCTTTATTGATGTATTTATTTCTCTTAGGGCTTTGTAAGAAAAATAAGCCAGGGAGTGGGAAATCAGGCTTTTTTGCATATCTTCTCTGATTGCTGGAGGGATTGATGCTACCCATCCTATTAAAAGGGATGTTAGCTGATTCAAATTAAAGGAATAAAAAAGGTAGCAGTGAGTGTGAAAAGTTGAGGCATTGCAGTTTGTGCTCAGTATGTGGTGGAAATAATTCTCTTGAGACGTCCACAGTAATGTTGTTAGGCAGCCCAGATGGATGAGACCGGTTAAGAGGATATGCTTAGCAGTCTGGGAATTTTGCCTGTCTTGCTGTGGGTCCATTAGACACTGAATCTATAAAATTAGATTATTGTAATTTGAAAATAGTACATTTTAATGGCTGATCTATTGTGAATAAATCTTGGCTAGCCTCTGGTGTAATGTCAGTTAAGACTTATTTGACTTTTTTGGAATTGACTGATAAACTCTAAAAATGGCAATTCGGGAAACAGAAGAAATTACAATTTTTAGAGATTGACTCTGCTATCCAAACTATTTGAACCAAGGTTGTTCTGATTTATTAACAGTAACTTGAGCTGTTCAAGGCTCGACTCTTCTCCTGCTTGTTGATGCTGATAGTCATGCTGGGGATCCTACAGAGTTTGCACATGCCCTTAGTTATCTTTGTCTCACTGGCTTTTCCAATATCCGTTGAAGCAGTGGTAGCAGCTGGCATAGCTCCTACCTCTGGCTGTGGGTTTGGCCCCATCTTTGGGAGGGACTACAGAACACGGTAGAAAGGGAAGCAATGGTAGCTACTTTCCATGCTTACCAAGCTAAAACTAAAACTGTTGTCATGATTTTTTTTCAATATTGTCTTTTTCTGATGATAATTGGAAGGATTTTCTTGCTTTCTGTTTGTGTGTGTTTTCAAGGCAGACTCTGTCTTTCATTCTATTCCAGTGATGCTGTTTTGATCATTTCTCTCCTCCTTGGAGTCATATATAATGAAGGCACTTGTTCTTTTGTGTTTGGATTTGTGTTGGAAGAATTTGCTGTTGTTTATGACAGGAGTGGCAAAGCTTATTTAGTTCACTTCTTGATTGTAGGGAGGTTTGACTAATGCTGCCCTATTAGGAAGTAGGTGATGATACCTGAGCGGTGTTTGTGATTTCTTTAGATATTGTTTGGATTGTTTTGGATAAGGGTTGGTGTCCTGGAGAGGAGCTGAATCTTCCTGTTGATGTGCAGATCTTTAGAATTTAACAGTACCCTGCAACACTGAATTTCAGAGATTAAATCTGGTTGTATACAATAATTATTTGTATTGAACAATTATTGTGTGTCGTATGCATTTCTTTAAATTTCATTAGATGATTATTCTCTGCTTGTGAAAGAGGGCCCACAATTGATTTTCTTCTGTTGCTTTATATATCTTTCTTTCAACTACTCTGCTATTTCACTAAGTCTTTCGTTCAACTACTCTGCTATTTCACTAAGTAGGATTTTGTAGCACTATTAAATAAGCATACTGCAGCACATGCATTCATTTACCTTGGAAGTGTTTGCCCCTGGTTTATTGTGGAGGAGATTCTCTCTGTGCTGCGTGGGTTCTGAACATAGCAAGGTTTATATTGACTGGTTTCTATTTAATAAACAAACTATGACAAGCATAATAGTTAAATGTCTAAACAGAACAGGATGCTCAGATTTTGAAAACAAGCCTGTTAAAGAGCAACTGAAGATTTCTATTTACAAAACAACTATTCCACTTGGCATAAAAATGCTTTCTGTCAACATGATGGACTAGAGGATCAAGTCTACCCTCAGTCAGTTTGCAGACAGCACCAATTTGACAGGAGTGTTGATCTTCTGGAGGGGAGGAAGGTTCTGCAAAGGATTCTGGAGAGGCTGGATCATTGGGCCAAGGCCAAAGGTGTGAAGATCACTAAGGCAAAGTGC